CGCTAGCTCAATTTGATCGGGAGTAATTGAAGAAAAACTGTGACCCTTGTGACGTCACAAATGACGTCACGCAAGGGCAACAATGCAAATATGAAGCATGGAACCTTACAATGAGTGCATGAAATCATGATTTTATATGCTTGAGATAGTTTATGATCATTCTCGGCGCCAAAATAGCAATTTTCATATTTCCCCATTGACTTATAAGGGCTTAACGTATTAGTTCCTTGTATCTGAGAAGTTTTTAGGATTTCATCTTATTCTTCACTCAATTCTGCGTAAGATGCCGGGTTCCGTGTCCACATAGCTTGAACGTAACGGATGCAGCGACCGCAAACGTAAATCGAGGTCCCGAATTCCCTATTCCCCAACACAGGCGGCGGCCGCTTCCTGGTCTGCGCAACATGGCGGCACCGTTGGACACCATCTGGCGGCCGATGCGCATTCCACATTATAGAGTTCAGTGGTCGTAACTCTATAATGACCTTTGCTTATTGTCACATGTGCGCCGCATTCGCGATTGTTGCCGACGCCTGTTTGCAGGTCAGCCCACTACAGTTGTTATACATATCGAAAAACCGATAAACTTTTAGGCGAAAAAGGCACTATTCCAGGCCCATTTTTGATTTTTTTGCGGTATTAGGTAAAAACAGAAGCTTCTTATCCTAGGAAAAATAAAATGGGAAATCTTTCAAAGGTGGCACACTACCTTTAAATTAACGTGAGCTGACAGAAGGTCTTTGACTGAGGGATAAGGCTTGCGGCTTGACTGTGACCAAGCATATCTACCACCATTTCTTCAAGTGCTGATTCAAGACGGTCGTTTCAATCGCTCTGAGATATTTCAGTTCCGCCGCGGCTACCCGGGGCAGGCGGCGCGCCACAGAACCTGGGGCGCTAACTGTTCGTAGGCGGCTGTCCTTGACCGAAGCGGCAGGCCCGGTCGGCTCGCCATGCGTCCCAGGAAGCCGGGATCTGGGCCGATGACCGGCCGGGCACCACGCTACCCTGGGCCTGGCACGGCATGGAACGGCACAGTTACCGGGGGATGTATGAACAGGTCAATACGCATTACCAGTGGGCTTCTTTTGTGCTTAGCATTGCAATCTGTTTATAATATGTTTATAATGTACTTACTACTAGGTCGTTCAATAAGTAAGGTAAAATGTACCATAGTTCATTTATATGAGGAATTCAAGCAAAATCAAATATGCTATCTGAATCTTTGAACAATTTCCTACACAACCTTCGAAACTGTTTTTGGGAGTTTGGATCATTGTCCGAACACGGTCGGTGTGAAAACATTGATGCAGCAGAGTTCCGTTCTAAAAATCCCCGGTTTGTCATGCGAGCCAAAATCCGCCTCAAAATGAGTGAGTTGACCCTGATGACGCTATTCCCATTAGCAATGCTTGCTGGTGAACAGCTGGTACGATTTCAACAAGAACACAGCAGTGTAAGAGACAAAGTTCTAGAGCAGGTAGACTTGTGCCCGCAGGCCTCTCTGGACTTGGCACAATCTGTAAAGTCAGGGAGCTGATTATGGAGACCCAAAGCATCTGCGTGACTGGCGACTGCTTTCATTAACAGGGTGAAGTGTTATGTCGAAACAATTCTGGGCATCATCAGATATGCTTGATATTTACAAGGTCATCACGAGGTTAATACCGAAAGAGCTCACTGAATAACAGAAGGAAGCCCGGTGAGGCATCAGTGTGGGGCTCGCTTTGCTTTAGCAGTACAGGAAAGCTGAAGTACAGCCGTGATCTGGCGCCGTCCCACTTGAACCTGTTTGAACCACCGGAAAACCTGTTGTGTACGTTGGAATCTTAACTGATCAGGCAATCAATAAAATAATCAAGACATGGCTTTGGAATAGCAATAAGGAGTTTTCCAAGCAGGATTTCCACGCCGGGTGGAGTGCTGGGATAAACGCGTGCGCCTGAACGGTGATTGGATGTAGGCTCGAGTTCCGAGGGCTGGGGAGGCTGGCCGAAGAGACCTGCCAACAAATGCTTATAGCCAATTTGTAGACGATATTTCAATGAACATATGTTGCTAGTTTTGTGTCGTTGCACCAAATATGGACTGAACTACGTGTGATTTTACCTTACTTATTGAACGACCTAGTATATGTGTTGCTCATGTATATCTCCGGTGCCTGTGAGCAGACTGATATATCAAAGAGCATGACGTTCATAGGTCTGTTTATACTCTGTGCGGGGCAGTACCTGCGGCACTGCATGCTGACTGCATAAGGTATAGGCTCATAGCGGGCCGCTGGCTTGTGAACACGTGAGACTGGTGTGCATTATAATTTATACCTACCACCAAGCCGGAGTCACGGTCTCAGACTCGCTGTCAATGACCGAACCACCAGCTGACCAAGAGCGAGATATCAGATTTTCGAGCGGTTCAACCGACAGACGCCTCGACACTCTAAGTGTGTAGGTATGTGCCATATTTTGATGTGTACATATATTAGGCAGTCAGTAGCCGGAACGTCTTAAATGAGCAGAAGACCAATCAAAGAAAACTCAGCTTTTGGTAAACGGGAGATTGTGCCATTAGCTGTGTATGTGAGATAAAACCATAACCTTGCTTATAGTTCCAACTGTCTTTTTGCTGTTGCTTTGTTTTCTAGCACACAGTCTTCGTTAACCAGCAGTTGCTTGCAAACACGTAGGCAATGAAGCAGACTGCAAAGCTTGCAAAAAGAGATATCTATACAAGCACTATTTTTGTGTGCGCAAAGCAGTGACAAATGCTATGACGTCGCCTAACCAGTTCGGACGACATTATTGAAATGTCCTTCACGTTTGTGCATTGCTTCTTTAATGCTTCATCTGTTCTTTCGCAATAAACAGCTCGAGTCGGGACAATCGTAATGCATTCCGCAGCCTTGTTTCGCGGGCCGTCGCGCACTGCACACGCTCCAGCCGTCTGCGCTAACCGGACTCGGAAGTGCGGTGCACTGAGCAGCACGAGCCTCAGTGCGCCCGGTTAGCCTGCGTGCCACAGCACACACTGGAGGGATGACGGGCGGCGATGACTGACAAGGCTTGTTCACTGAGCCGAACCGAGCCGGCCCTCTGTCTGGGGGAGGGGAGGAGGGGTACATACACTGCCGGTCACGGCTGGGATCGGCGACTGCTGGATGGCATTGGCTTTCACGGTTGGATAGGCTCACCACAGGTCATCGACAGGGGCAAAGGAATAAGAAGGTGGGGAAGGAGGTAGGAGGGAAAGGAAGCTTGAGGAGAGGGAGAGTAGGGCCGGGAGAGGAAGAGGAAGCCGTGTTCTATTAGCTGCCGTGTGAGCAGCGTCGTCAGACCGAAATCGGCATCGAACCCAGCGGTGCCATCAGACACAGCGATCAGCGATGTAAGGGCAAGCGAAAAGGTCATCCTGATCCGACGAGACACCGTCATCATAAGGAAACGCCGTCAGCAGACTGAGCGGTATGATCAAACGAAGAGGATAGACGTCAATCATTGACTTAACACTAGGCCCTGTGCCTACACACAGATGACATCTGTCTACCTAACAGATGACAGGTATGGCATAACCTCTTTAATAGATGCCTGAATAATTTAATAGCACTGAACAGGGATTGGATGGGAGTAGCCTTTTTCACGACGGAGCATTGAGCACCCATTTAATCCATTTGATCTATGTGGTATCTGTGAAATTTTGATACTTGTTTATCATACTTGTTTATTATGGTACAGTGGTACTTGTTTATTATGGTACTTGTTTATTATAAAGGGTTTCCACCTTTTGAATGAAATGCCGGTTGCTTTGCTTCTTTGATTTTTAATTCAAGCAAATAGGTGTCCAATGTGAATGCTTCGTCGTGAAAAGACGCCTATGTCATCTACGCTGGAGAAGAAAGGTGCTCCTGCCTTGATTTTGAAGGAGGAAAGCAGCTTAATAGAACGAAGAAAATGCACAATGCGCGCTAGAGAATCAGGGGAAGAATGAGTGAGAGAGAGCCAGAGGGGTGGAGAGAGAAAGAGAGAGAAAAAGAGAGAGGGAGAAAGTGAGAGAGAAAGAGAGAGAGAGAGAGAGAAAGAGAGAGAGAGAGATAGAGAGAGAGAGAGAGAGAGAGAGAGAGAGAGAGAGAGAGAGAGAGAGAGAGAGAGAGAGAGAGAGAGAGAGAGAGAGAGAGAGAGAGAGAGAGAGAGAGAGAGAGAACAACTACAGTTTGATAACATACTGAAGAACTGAATATTCAAATATTGATTGTGAATATCAATATTCAATCCATATTTTTCTGATGCAAATTCGATGTAAAATTAAAAGTAGGTACATGGCATCCGATATGCACATTAGGTACAGAAGAAAAAACTTATCGCGGATTTTTTTTATTTTAGTCCGAACCTTCTGAATGGAGGGATTTACCAGGACAGAGCCCCGCCAAGCGGGGCTTGTTGCGGTGACCCTACCCTCTACTCTCCGATCGCGCAATTCCTGTTCTATGGCAGAATTTAGAGTCCGAAGTTTAACGTACGCACAAAGCCGCTCACGGCCGGTCCCCTCACTGACTTCAGCTGGCTACGGCCTGCCACCAACCGCAGTCCGCAACCATACCTGTCAAGAGGCTCATAAGCATCGAGAGCCCGTCGCGCTTCGAACCCGGACTGTTATAACCGGGAACGCGTGCTCTCGCCACACGGAGTCCAACGCTCTACCGACTGAGCTAGGGACCGGCATCAGAATTGAGAGGAAGAGGAAACTTCTTTATTTTACTGAAGAGATATTATTCGTACTAAATGAGAAAAAGCTATACATAATTATGGAGTCTTAGCCTAGATAGGTAATAGATCGGACAATATGTCGTTGCACTACATAAAACTGAATACTGACGTGGCATTTATTATGAGCCATATGACGTTCGACTTTCCATCGACTGACCTTACATCGACAGCAGCTATTGACGAGTGCGACACTCACATAACCCCACCCCTCACCTGACCTGACCTGACCTGTGAACTGACCTGAGAGGAGCAGTGGGAGCAGCGAGGCGCCGACCAGCAGCGCCCGACGAGCGGCCGAGGGGGCAGCCATGTCCGACCAGCGTCAGGTCGAGGAGCCGACTGGCGGCCGGCCGGCGCTCCGCGACCGGTCCGGCGCCTGCTCCGAGTCACGGTCTGGTCCCAGCACTGCTACCAGTGCCGCTCTGGTCCGGGTCCAACACCGTCTCCCAGTGCTGGTCTGGTCCCGGTCCAATACCGTCTCCCAGTGCTGGTCTGGTCCCGTTGTGGCCCCGGTCCAACGTCGGGCCCCCAGTCCCGGTCCTGCTCTCGTCCCGGTCCCGGTCTGAGCTCCGATCCGAGTTCCTGCACTGGCTACCCGTCCCAGTCCCAGTCCCAGTCCCAGTCCCAGTCCCAGTCCCAGTCCCAGTCCCAGTCCCAGCCCCAGTCCCAGTCCCAGTCCCAGCCCCAGTCCCAGCCCCAGTCCCAGTCCCAGTCCCAGTCCCAGTCCCAGTCCCAGTCCCAGTCCCAGTCCCAGTCCCAGTCCCAGTCCCAGCCCCAGTACCAGAGCCAGTCCCAGTCCCAGTCCCAGTCCCAGTCCCAGTCCCAGTCCCAGTCCCAGTCCCAGTCCCAGCCCCAGTCCCAGTCCCAGCCCCAGTCCCAGCCCCAGTCCCAGTCCCAGTCCCAGTCCCAGTCCCAGTCCCAGTCCCAGTCCCAGCCCCAGTACCAGAGCCAGTCCTAGTCCCAGTCCCAGTCCCAGTCCTAGCCCCAGTCCCAGTCCCAGTCCCAGTCCCAGTCCCAGCCCCAGTCCCAGTCCCAGTCCCAGTCCCAGTCCCAGTCCCAGTCCCAGTCCCAGTCCCAGTCCCAGTCCCAGTCCCAGTCCCAGTCCCAGTCTCAGTCCTGCCCCAGTTCCGGTCTGATCCCGTAAGGCCTACCGACCTCTGATTTTCTGCTTTATTAGGTATTACTTCGGACCGCTTTCCAGGTTTCTAAGAGACGATTCTTCTTGACATAGCATATTGGTAAAACAGATGTTCATTGAAACGCCCCGTTCAGCGTTCAAACTTCAACTTGTATGCTCCACCTGCAAGTAGGCCCGCTATCAACAAGCTTTCAAGTGACAAATTTACCCAGCGCCAAAGTGCTATGGTACCTATCGTAAAACATCGAGATGGGGAGACGTTTTACGTCCCCTCCACCAAACTCGGCTTGTAAGCTTCCTAAGCGACAAGCAGTAAGCGGCGTTCGGAAGAACGCCAAATAGGTATGAGAACGCAACTGATCGGATCATTTTAAGGTCAGGTCATCAGATATCAGCAAATGTTAAGTTTCCCAATTTTGACGTTCCAGGACTGTAATCAAAGCTCGCATAAAGATGGGAAAAAAACATAGCAGAAAAAAAAACATTCGATGACTCTTTTTAAAGGGACCCTCCCGGCTCCCACCTTCAAAAAAGTTAATGAATTGGCATGAAAGTGATGTCGCTCGGTTCAGAAAGAGCAAAAACGAATATCTACCAAATTTCACCGAAACATATTCACCGGTTTTCAAGATATTAGACATTTACTTTTGTTTACTTTTTGGGATCTCCGCTGTTTCTAGCGACTTCATTTTGGAAGTGCGGCGTTTGCGGCAGATGTTGCGCGCAAATAGCATATACCACCACTGCTTCTGTTAGTATAACAGCTATACCAGCAATCAGGCGTCTAGCTCTAAAAATGTTGAGTGCAGAGCAGAAAGACTACCTGGGGGGGGGGGGGTGGCAACCACCCCCCCCATGTGCGGGCGAGGGTTAGTTTTGAGTTGAGATAGCCAAATTGGTGGCCATGGCCTGCAAATACCGGTTTGGGCACTCACAACACCGAAAAATGCTTTAATTCGGAGATATGGAATTTCAAACTTGTAGTTTTCGGATTCTAAGGGGCTAATGCATTGGAATGCCCCCTTATAATTTGTGACGTCAGCGGTGATCTAACGATTTTGAAACCTTAAAACCCTCGCCCGCACATGGGGGGTGGTTGCCACCCCCCCTCCCCCCCAGGTAGTCTTTCTGCTCTGCACTCAACATTTTTAGAGCTAGACGCCTGATTGTTGGTATAGCTGCTCCTCTATCCTTTCTTGATGTCCACTGAAAATTTCAAGTTTCTATGGTTTTTGGTTTCGGAGATATGACCTTGTTTTTCAGGTCATGTCATGACCCAAATGAGCAATTCTCAACATCTTGCGTTGGCTGGGGGCCTTGCGAGCTTTTGACACCTTGATTTCGGCCTTTTTTGCCAGTCTTACCTCCCACCTGTCATGGAACATGTTGTTCGACGATGTACAGATGTCAAGATCAGGGTCAAGGTCAACCTAGGTCATCTAAAATAATTGCGTTTCAGGCAAGCTGAATTTACTTTTCGTGAAGTTTTTTGACTGTATTTTTGGTAAAAGCTTCTCAGATCATGATTTTGAGGGCTAATGTTAAGGTGGGATGGTCACTTTAACCCTCGCCCGCACATGCCATTTTCCCATCCCAGAACGCACATGGGGGGGGGGTTGCCACCCCCCGCGCCATTTCGTTCCTGTTGGAGATAGAGCTTAGCGGTAAAGACCAAAAAGATTCTTTGGGAAGAGACGAATCCAATGATACCCAGTTTTACCTTCTCAGGTCGTCATTGACCTTCCAGGTCAGGTCAAACTAAAAAATGTTGCTCTTTTGGGTCACCGTTGGATATCAAGTGCGCTGCTTATCATATGCCGATGACGATTCCGTTTTCTGGTGCCCAGCCACTAGCCAGCTAGAACCTCTTTGACACACTACCCGACCAGATTTTTGCTGCTGAGGTCATTTCAGGTCAAGCTAGGTCAAAGTCAGTTATATGTGTTTGTATGTCTGTGTGTGTCTGTGTGTATACTGATGTGTGCACCGATTGTTTATGTGTCCATATTACATGAAATCATGATCTGAGAAGCTTTTACCAAAAATGCAGTCAAAAAACTTCACAAAAAGTAAATTCAGCTTGCCTAAAACGCAATTATCTTAGATGACCTAGGTTGACCTTGACCCTGACCTTGACACCTGTACATCGTCGAACAACATGTTCCATGATAGGTGGGAGGTAAGACTGGCAAAAAAGGCCGAAATCAAGGTGTCAAAAGCTCACAAGGCCCATAGCAAACGCAAGATGTTGAGAATTGGCCATTTGGGTCATGACATGACCTGAAAAACAAGGTCATATCTCCGAAACCAAAAATCACAGAAACTTAAAATTTTCAGTGGACATCAAAAAGGATAGATTTGGGTCATGACATGACCTGAAAAACAAGGTCATATCTCCGAAACCAAAAATCACAGAAACTTAAAATTTTCAGTGGACATCAAAAAGGATAGAGGAGCAGCCATACGAAAAATCAGCCTTCTAGCCAGTGGCGGCGGAAGCAGGGGGGCAAGGGGGGCAGCTGCACCCTAAAGCTATGGAAAGGAGCGCCTCGAAAATCTGTAGAGGAGGCAGGAAGTTATGAGGTGCGGCAGCCATAAAGCTGAGCAGTGCGACACCACAACTGATAAAGGCTTTTTTGACACGAAGAGGGTGGCAATGACGTGGGAAAAGAAACATTTATGGAGTCGTCTTTGAAGGCGATGGCCTCCGAACGCCAACACGAACATATGAGGGCTTAGCGTTGCAGGCTCCATGCGACAAAAAGGGGCGCCTGATGGCCGATATGCGAGAGGAAATTAGTTTGTGTAACATTTATCAGGGGCGGTTTGCCGTTTACAACATATGAATGTTAAGGGAGGTCCGAGATTGGGGCCTGTAAAATTGCACTGTCCGTATGGGCGGTCACACCCCTAGTGCTAGGGCCTATTTTGCGTTTTTTTTTTTTACTGGGGAGATGATTATGACCAGGAATAGCAATCTGCAAACTTCTATGGGCGCCTGTATAGGGGCGAAACTGATTTTCCAGTGCAGGGACGGCCATCGGCATTGTGGGGCGGCATTCATTCCACTGGGGCGTCTGCCAGTGTTGAAGGGCGGTATTCATTTCAATGGGGCGCCCCGCGCCCGTTGGTGTTGATGGACGACATGTATCACCTGGGGCGCCTATCGGAGATTGGGGCGGCATTAATTTCACTGAGGCGCCTATCGGCGTTGACGGCAATAGTGCTGCAATAGTGCAGTGCAGCCCAGGCGGCATGCTGCTCACCGGCCTGCAATTCTCTGTCACCGAGTTAGTGTTATGGATTCGGCGCCTTCTTCACTAGTCCATACGAAGGTGTTGGAACCGTGGAACTCTTTTCGATATGCCTTATTCGGAGAATCTTATGATATGGTGATGAGGTTGTTCCTAAACGAACATTATGAAGGTTACATTTAAGCTATGGAATGTACCTAACTATTTCTCGTTACATAAAAACTGTAATTCTGAACGTGTTGATAGGTACAACACATTGTCAAACGTCTCTTCACTGTTTGTGTTACTACAACCGTGTATATGGTAAGGGGCGCGCAGCGGGAAGGGGCGCTTCAATATCGTTTGCACCCCTATCCTAGAATACCTTCCGCCGCCACTGCTTCTAGCTTTAAAAATGTCGAGTGCAGAGCAGAAAGACTACCTGGGGGAGGGGGGGGGCAACCACCCCCCCCCCCCATGTGCGGGCGAGGGTTAAAGCTCGTTTGCCAGCGAGCCCTTGTGCTTAAACTAAGATCAACAGTCTAGCCTGCAGAGGGCAAACACCTTCAACAGCTAAGAACTGTGCAGAAAATATATTTTCTGCAATAACTTTGACACATAATTCGGACGTTATTTACTTTACCAGCATCTTTTTCTTCCGTCGAGACGTGTCGAATAAACTATAACTATGCCTTAAAAGATCTTATTGAAACTTTGACTATATGGCCAAGGTGTAAAAGATCATTTTGCACATAAGTCGACCTGTATTGTTGAATTGAACACGTCTAGTGTGTGAAAAAATTAACTTACATAACCTAAAAACGTCTCAGGGGCTTAGAGTGGAGTCCGACGGGCGCTTTTTTCTATTTCATTCAGCATATGGTATTCAACATGCTATAATTATGTCATATAACCCTCAGAGGTTGGGCACGCCATCAAACCCAATGCTATAACTACTATGTTTCGTCGCGAACAACGTCGCAAACCTTACCTAAGTTCAGGTCACCGGTATAAAAAACGAATTATACGGTTAATAGGTAGGTGACGGGGCACTCTTGGCACTGTCTGAGGATTCAAAGCAACCGCTCGATCGGTGTGAATAAGGCGAGAATGTGCTTTTACTTTAGGTGAGGTCACTTGACGTGACCTGGGCCTCGTTTCATAAAGCGAGTCCGTAACTAACGGCGGTTTTTGATCTTCTATTGCAAGTGCATGTGAAGCGATGATGTTAGTTTGAATCGTTGAATCTATTTATCTTGCAGGCAAGAACAGAAGGGAGAACGGGAAATAGATTTATTGCTTCACATCACATGGACTTGCAATACAAGACCAAGAACCGGCGTAAGTTACGGACTCGTTTTATGAAACGAGGCCCTGGTGACCTGACTTTGAAGGACCTAGCTGTCTGATGTGTCCACAGCATATGCGGAAAGTGCGTCATAAGCCCGCCATTCTATCTTACCACCGTCCCCCTCCACACACACACACTGCGCTGGTTAAAAAAAAATAGGCATTGATACAGAGTGTCACATGAGTGACCCACCTACCTAGCACAGTTGACACCCAAAGAAAGGTACCCACTCTCCATGCAATGCGCTTATCGCCAAGTTGAAAATCAAACAAGCAGATCACATTACACACCAATGTATTTGGGCATGCCTATCAACTCAGCAAGTGACGTTTCCAGTCTTCTGCAAAATAATTATACACGATCTCTAAGCTTCGGCTCGACAACATATTTCTAAAGACTGAAAATTCTAAGCAAACGATGATATAAGATGTTTCAGAATCAGAAATGATTTCATTCAATAGCCGTTCACACTTATGTATCATTATTCATATACGCATTAGTTCATAAGCAAACATGAAAATTCAATGGTATCAACCAAGTCATATTAAGTCATTTTATTATAAAAACAACAAAAATAACAATGCACCTTCTGCATATTTAATTCAGCTCAGCCGTCATCCAATAATGGGTCCCCAGTATTCAAATGCACCTGGAGCGATGTAAAAAAGTAATGAAAGGCCTAACACTTTAAGAATGCTGAATGCAATTGATCCCCCAAACCACCACGCAAACTCTGTGGGAGGGACAGGCTTTATTTTGATCGGCGGTGAGCGACCTGTAGCGCTACGCAGTACAGCTTGCGAACTAGTAGTTACAAAGCTAGCCGCCAGACGTCCTCTCAGCAGCCGCTGAACCACACTCAAAACGGTGCTCGGCTTCTCTGGGGCTACGGATCTCAGGGGTCGATGATGGAGGGGTGAGTTCTCTGAAAAGAAAAAAAGGACCACAGTGATATACATTATGTGTAAAGAAGCATTACTACTGTCTATTACACATTGTTTTTTTTTTCAATGCTCCTACGCGCTAGCAAAGACGGTGCGAAAGTGATTCGGGGCTATATTCTCACGAAAACAGCGTCTTTGGGTGAGGTGACAGCGCCCGATGAGGTATAACACGCGACAAGCGAATAACATGACATGGCGGCGGCGGGGAGGCGGACGGCAACGCGTGTGTCGCCAGACAGACCAGGCAGAAATGGGACACAGCGTTATCGCGGGCGCGCGTCCCCTAGCCTAAGTCACGTGACCGCGACGGACGTCTTGGCTGCGCAGCGGCCGCGCGCTGGTTCATTGCCCCTAGAGGGCCAAACAGAGAAGTCATGGTACCACAAATTTTTTCGCTCGTATACGATTGGAAAAAGCTCCTAGCTGCGCTAAACGCCGATTCACGTTCATGCTGTCCTTGTTCTAGCTACCACTCTGCGGTGAATTTTACAGATGTTACCAATTACCAAGGGAAATCGTCCGATCCCTATTATCTATCCTCAGACTGCAGCATTAACCCTCCTCTTCAACGCCGCAAGCCCGGGCTGAACGGCCAACTTCCGGGCTGAACGGCCATCTTCATGCGACATCTAACTGTGTCGCACGGAGCTGACCATAGTCAGCTCCATAGGAGCAGACTCACATGTGATGGGGTGACCGTTTGCGGCGCTCTTTGCCCCACGTCCTCTGTGACGGAATCAGCCCCGGCGACGCACCAGGACGGTCGCCCAGCTTACTGTCTCCACCTAATTTTTGCCGACCTTTCCGTGTACAATTACTAGGCAAAAGCGGCTACCAAACAAAATGGATAAACAGAAGCCAAGCGAATTACAATTGTAGTCGTTTTTACGACGGCTATCTGGCACACATTTGGTCACATTTTGGTACGATTTGGTCAATTTGGTTCTTGGTTGATTCTTGTTGTCTGCAGTTTAGGCTGCACTACCTACCTTATTTATCCAATTGTCAGCCCTTATTTTCGATTAAAACATTGTTATAAATTCATGTCATGAAGTTATTTGCTGTAAAAAGGTTTGATTTGATTTGGTCAAGTTTGGTGCATTCGCCAAACCCAGAAAACTCGTCGTGAGAACGGGTATTATCATCACTTTTGGCGCACATCTCGTTAGCGGGCAGAAGAACGACAGTCGACGTGGGAAATGCGTATGGGAAATTAGAGGTCGGTGCTCCATCCAAAATCAACTTTGCTGTTGCCAGTGAGATAGGCTGAAATGTTGGAATGGCCCATTCGTACTCATAAGTTTATTATCCAACGACACGACCCATAGCCAATTATATGCTAGAAAGTCATTCATTTTACCTCAACAATATTTATTATTTAACTTCTATCAACACGCGTCAATTGCTGTTTGATTTAATGCTGAAGTCATGTTATGCATAGAAATTACCTCCTGGCAAGTTTATCAACAAAAAAGGTATAAATAAAGACCCGATACATACATTTATTACTTCTTCAATCTATATTGCATTTGATAATCACATATTAGCCGTTTTCACGACGGGCTATCCGGCGAATGCACCTGATTTGACCAAATCTGCATCTAATTTCTTTTACAGCAAATATCTTCATTTTATGAATTTATTTCAGTGTTTTAATCGATGATGCTCTCCGATAAAATGACAAAGCAGGCATATAAGCAATTAGGGCAACCCTAGCTGATAGCTGCTAAGAGACACAATGAACCTGATTTGACCAAATCTGCACCTATAGTCCGTTTTTCTTATCTTTAGACTTCACTCCAAGATGTTTCGCAAGATATGCACGAGACAAAGCATGGCTTAGAAAAAATCAAGCCCTTCGGAAACAGAAAATATTGCCTTGAAGCCTGGAGAGTGGCGCTCTTGGGTGCGGCAAGTGCAGATTTGTAGTCTCACAAATGTGTATTACATAAATAGGTAGGTACTTATACCTACCTGCTACAAAAATTAAGTTGGATAAAGTTTGGTATGCTAACCGAACTATCGATCCGATGAATTAAAGGGTACCTATAAAAGCGAATATCACTTGGAAATGAACTATTCTGCAAATGGACACAAGTCATCATCAGTGACTTTAGTTCAAGACCTATAGGGCTTGGTTCCAGCCGAAGTTTTTTGAAACCGCAGGTGCGTGCGACTGCGAGTGCGGACCCAATGCAAGGAAATTCTTGAAGGAGCTCGGCGTGTGGCTCGTAACAAGTTCTGGCGACTGTCGTGAAGCACTTGGTTTGTGGTTCGCTATCGCAGACATTCGAGTGAACGCGTTTTCGATAGTATTGACTGTGACGTTGTAATCCTCACGAAGTATCATGTGGACGGGTTAGACTGCGTGACGAGAGGCGGAGATGAATTATGCCTGTGGAGGTAGGCAACCCGCAGGACATGCGTGTTCAGCGGCGCAGGCTACCAACACGAGTTGGCTATATGAGCGTGTGTTTAGCGATGAATGCAGCATTGATCGAAATTAACAAATATACATACTATTTCAATGTGATGACATGTTTTGCTCGTATTACCCGCTAGTGTCTACAAATCTACCACCAGTAACTCGTAATACAAATTACAAAAGACAGGAAACACAGGAGTCGTACTCGTATATTGGGTATGTTTGGTTCACCGAAGCCATCGTAGGTCCCATGCGCCCTCAATCACTTTCACTGTCACTGTCGTCACTGCTCGAATCCTGAAGTGACACGATCACTGGCTCGATGTCCTCCATCATACCATCTGCTCGCCAGTACACCTCTTCCAGTTCTCGCACGTGGCGGCAGCAGTTTCGCCACAAGTCCGGTGGCGCGGCGTCTCGGCTATCCAGCAGCAGCCTTTCCACGTCATTCAGATGCCCAGTGTTGTTGAACTGGCGGACGTGCGTCTTCATGTTTGCCCAAACCATTTCAATCGGATTGAGGTCGCAATGATATGGGGGCAACCTCAGTACTTCATGACCGGCCTCCTGTGCCACCTTGTCCAACACATACTCGCGTGTCTGTTTCAGAGGGCGAACCAGCTCAAGAAGCTCGACCTTCCGCAAGTCCGGATCAGGATTGACATCATGTACCCGCAGCCATTCTTGGATCGCTTCCTTCCTCCAGCTAGCTGTAGGTGCCTTGTTAGCACATCTTGAATGATACGAGGCGTTATCCATAATGATCACGCTATTCGCTGGCAGGTTCGGCAGAAGTTGGAGTCGAAACCAGTCCTCGAAACAGCTCGCGTTCATAGACGTGTGATAGTCGGCAGACTTGCCGTCCGTCCTCATACACATGAATGCTCCTGGGGTGAAGCCGCTGTCCGAGCCAGCATCGACTATGATTAGGCGCTTGCCCTTCCCTGTCACTGGCTTATGGCCGGCCACGTCGTCACTGTCCAACCACGCGACCGTTCGCATATCAAACTGGTTATACCAGGTCTCGTCCAAGTACACTATAGTGCGCTCTGGGTCGGAGCTTCTAATCTTCCGAATGCGTCTCAGGAACGCGTTCCGGGCTGCCACCACCTGAGGTTTTTCAACCAGCAGCTTTCGGTTGTTCACTTGTCGGAACTTGAATCCTATTTGGAACAGCTGCTTTCGTATGGTTGAGCGCGAGATAGTCTGCTCGAACTTGTCCTGAACTGCCGCTCTAATGGTGTCCAAAGTGACCTTTTTCCCTTCCAGGTACATGGCATGCACCATTCTTCTGACCGCGCACTGGTCAAACTCGTCGAAGTACTCGCGTGGCCCCCTGTTAGGGCGCTGGCGGGCTGGAGACTGGCATCCATGTGTCTCTATTCCACTCTTGAATGCATTAACAGAGGCAATCGACACTCCAGTAGCAGAGCTGGTCTCCTTCGCTACGTTAATGCTAGCCGCCGCACTCTCATCACCTTGCTTGAGGTATTCATCTTTCTTTCGAATAAAATATTGGTAAACATTATAAACCACTTGTCTCGCTTGTGCACCGATCGGTTTTCCTTGCCGAAGTTTTGAGAGCATTGCATATTATTGTATACGAATGGATATAAATTTCAAAAGATATATAAAAGTCTCAGATTTCCTTGATACACAGCAGACATATGGTGTGTTCGCTTTTAGAGCCAGTGGCAATGAGCTGGCAATGAGCGTGACGCTTGATTTTTATTATCAAATTGTGTGACGTCACGTGCTAAGTTATCTGCACATCTTGGAGTGAAGTCTAAAGATAAGAAAAACGGACTATAGTCTGTACCAGATGTGCACCAAATGTGTACCAGATGGCCGTCGTGAAAACGGCTAATGTCAGGTCGCGCTAGCGGGCGCGATATAGCGTCGTTGCTGCCTGTTGGTGCGCCCTGTCTCACCAAATCATTATCAGGTCGAGGTAGCTTATTCAAGGAATTGAGATCTATCTAATCTTTTAGTGTTCGACTTCAGGAAGGCCTATTTGACTGTCAACAAATATGCGCGTCTCACTTCCTCATTTGTTTTGCTAGTTTACGTTTAACGGATCTTCTCGCCCATCACACTTTTTGGATACTCGCTTCTTATTGAGAATGTTAGCTCCGCATCTCAAAACGTTACGGAGCACCGCAATAGAATTGGTGGCAAAAACAGGGGCGGTGTAACCGTTTTTGTTCGCCCCTGTTTATTATGCAGGTCTCGGCACCTGACGGACCATGAAGTGGTTTTACTTCATGGAATCCTGATAGCATCTTTGGCCCTGGGTCTTGCCATGCAATGACATCTTGATTGTGGATCATCGCACGCTTTATCTGTGGATGTTTTTATCACCACAAACAGGTGCACTTTTAATTACAAGAGGTAGGCGAGAAGTGTTGTGGATACTAAGCCAATGATGGACAGCGGATAATCACTTCATAAGCCTGGGTGTATTGTTAATTCATTTTTGAATTAAAACGACTCTTGAAAATTAAAATGACGGAAGTGCTTTTACCCAAACCAAAGTCAAATACCTATTTGCATTTTGAGCAGTGTTCTTAGAGATGGATCTGATGCTAGACATGTTGAACCACTGCCTTTCTTATCAAACTCTCCTTTTTTTGGCGATAATCGGTCTCGACTCCATGCCCCTTTTCTCGCTGGTCCGGCTTCAGGTCTGCTCCCTTGACTGAAAGACGAAATGCACTGACGTCTCGTCTCCATTTTTTTTTTCTTCTTCTTGCTCGTCTGAGTTGAAGAGCCCCGGGGCCCCGAGGTAGCTCAAATGGTCCCTGTTACGTGCTCAGAAGAATCAGCCAAGCACTTATGAGTTTCTCGACCAAGCGTTCATAGGGTCTCTCGCTAGCTCTGAGGACCGCGTGACGGGCTGAACATCGTCTCCGTAGCTCGGTTGCTCAATCACGTGTTTGACCAGACCGAGGCTATAGGGAAGGTATTCTTTCACCTCTGTATGGTTATTTTCTACACGCCTCCATTTTTGGTACAACTACTACATATAAAGGGAGCCAAGGAAAAAGGCAGCAGCGAATCTGTTATGAAAAAATGTGAGGCCGATCTCCCTTTTTCGCTCATAAAAAAGTCGAAACAAATAAGAAAATATCGGCCAAAGGGAGCTTACAGCCCCGTCGTATAGACTGTCGGCAGAAATGGCAAATGACTGAACACCCTCGGCTGTTGATGCATGAGTTGATAAATGATAAAATGGTGATCGATCGCTTGAACGCTTTTTAAGGTACTAAGAAGCATTTAAATGGCATGCTGGAAATTCATGTTTAAAACAGCGTGGTATGCCTACCAAATGCAATTGCTTACGAGGATAAAACATTAATTAGGACTACTCATTGGATATTTGACAACGAAAAGACAAAAAATGGACACAGCTGAATCACTAAAGTTTGAAGAATTCGATAGTGTGAAGAATGGTAATATCTCACCTGTTGCCGACATAGATGAAAACACCAACAGAATCAGCAGGGCCTTCATGGAATCCAGTCTCATCGCAGTGCTTACCAAGCACCAACAGTTATCTGTGTTGACACAAGCCGTAACTCTTGATAGTATGGAAGCCTTGGTGATATTCGTGCCGCCAGGCTGACAGATTTTGATTTAGCAGCTTCCTTCAGTTGAAGCACTGTCTCGGTGCGCTTGTAGACGTTTTAAGTAGCCAGCAGGGGCTGTTGTCCACTAGTTCTGCGCTCGATGAGCCGAGGTGCCGGGCTCCTTTCGTCTCCCAGCAATGGTCGCAGCTCGCCGCGATCGGTGCTGTCGGGCCGACGAGTGGCCTCCGTCTGATGTTGGTTCGTGGAGGTGTACCCGCCGCCCTACCGACCGCCCCCGCCCTGCCGGCTGCCGGTGGACCGGGCAAAGGCTGCCGCCCTGGCCCGTCCGTTAGCGCACACTCAGTGAGTACACGCCCGTGGCCTGCGGGAGACGTGACGGGGCGCGGACGCCGCCGACAAACACTGACCCGACCAACCGACCGACCGACCGACCGACCAGTCCCCTCCAGCAACGGGACAACTGGACGCCGGCCGGCCCGACACCAAGCCGGTCAACGGCGCTCCGGCAACACTCTTCTGTGGCCATGACAAGACAGTCCAGGTCGGTATGTTTCGCCTCTCATTTTAGCGTCGATGGACTTTGTATTTCGGAAATCTCATTTAATTTTATCTCTTTTATCCGCAGATTTCTGTTTGAAATAAGTCGATGAAAAGTAGCAGGCAATGCGTTTATTTGAATAACCACTAAATAACTAATGAATTAAATGCCAATTTCTTAGCTGCTCTATAACAGAGAAGTTTTACTCGACAGACCGGCATCTAAATCAAACAAAATGCGCCATGCACTCTGCAGTCCGATTGTGGGCACCTACCCGGTGCTATAGCTCCTTGGCTGCCGCGGCTCCTCTGTTCAGGCTAGCGGAGCTGCTGGAGTACGCTGCTGGCACACAGGGACAGAGCAGCCGGACGGCCGTCGCCCTGAGCCGACTCAGGCTCGACACGGACGCCCGGACGGCGTCACCGCTCATCACCGACGGAGACGTCTTCGTAGTCGAGAGCGACGTATTGGTGGAAGACGCGAACGATGATGTCGCGGCCGATCCGGCCTCTTGGTCCGTCTTGGCAATCAGTGCCTTCCAGAATGACTTTTTCTCTTTGTTCTTGTCACCATCCGCCTTGTCTTGATTGCATATGTTCGAGAAGGAAGGCGTGAGTAGCGATGCTAGAGTAAACGGACTTTGATCTTTGTTTTTGGTGCCATAAGAGCCGAAGCCAGATGAGGAGTCTTGGTAGGCCTCAGAGCGTGTAGTGTAATCCGACCCATCCGATTGGAAAAGGCATATATGGGAACGGATTGCACTGGCAAGCTCCGTGGCAGAAGACGGCATACTGGACACGGCCAGTGCAGACGACTGCAACTCTCCCACAACTTTCGATTTTTCTTCTTAAAGATCATTTGATCATCTCTTAGCTATTTTGGAACCGACTTTACTGATACCTATGATCAGCCTCAAAGCTGAACCATAATTTGCAATGAATAATTTGCAGTGAATATGGCATTGTGTTCACTGTTACGAATACAATATTTGTCTTTCTAACTTAAGAAAATGAGCCGACAGGGCCGGGGCACGACTTTTTAATTGATTACTTACTCTGACATATTAAAAAATTATTACCTTAAAAAAATGACAAGTAACTCATGGAAATGGCATGGATGAGCTATGGCATTGGCGAGGCTTGAGCTTGAGCGAGGCATTTGATTCCAGTTTGTTTTATTTGACGTACAAGATCGCTATCAGCACGAGCTATTATGCTTCCACTTCTTTCCATAACCCGTTCAGGAATTTGTATTGGATAGGTATGTCAAACGTTGTAATAAACATAGGTAGATAGTACTTCTGTAAGATAGTCGCATCTGTTGTAAGTACCTATACATTGTCAACCTTATTCGAGCTCATTCCAACGACGCACCTGACTAAAATGTCAGTTGGAATTTCGGATTGGGCAAATTAATTACGCACTGACAAAGTCGACTGTCTGACAAATAGGCACGCTTAAAAGCTGCTGCAAAGAAAATGATTGTTCAATTTGTTCACCATTTATTTTCAAAACGACCACCAAAATTAATAGTCGACTTTCAAACAAAAAAGACGTTTATATTCACGAAATGAATTAAAATACAAAACCATGACCGCATCTTACTCATTTTTAACCCCCTTAACCCACCCCAACCCCATTTCCGGTTTGCTGCACCAAGTCTGCGATCACTGCTGCTTTGCGAGGTACCACGCTGATCACGGGAAAAAGAGTGACGTACGTACACTGTAAAAGGGTCATGTTGCATATCGGTCGATCCGTATCGTCGAGCTGAACACATCGGACGTGTTTTCACAGCTCTAGCACGTCTCTAACAAAAATTATAGCCAAAAAAAACTGATGGTGACCGTTCATGACTTGATATAAATGGGAAAGGCAATGGGAGCGTGTTGTTTTTTTTTATATTAAAATTGGTTACACATGTGTTTCGGGAATAATCCCTTGATCACACCATATAAAAGTAGCTATATCCAAATACAATCGAGTTATGCTCATTTTTGCGCCGGCGATTTTCTTGCAAGGGGCTTGTAAGATTTGTTTACTGTGTACAATCGGACAGTTGCTCGACGCAGCTCAACTCCGCGCTCTGGCAGGTGCATATCTGTTGACCCACAACGTGGTTTCCGGGCGGTAGGAGACGCATCTCGGGATTGCCTTCGGTCTGGATCGCCAGTGCGCAGCCTGAAAACGTAGCACGTAAGTGTCACTCTAATGCAAAGCATGGTTTTGCATGTATTTGCTTAATGATTAAGACATTACGTTGTTGTCTCACGCGCAGTATGGTATGCACGGCAATTTACTTGTCAGCATTTCTCACATTAACATGGATTCACCGAATAACAAATCATTATTGACCGCAGGAAGCAGCAAAAAGCAAGCAGCATCATTCTAACAGCTTCCGAAACAGATCATATCATCGTGGTATTCGTGGAATGCGATTGAAGAGACTTGTGCCAAGTCGGTGCGGGTCGCATGGTTATGTGTTTTGAGGTGCTGTTGAGTGTTGATTCTACTTGTTTTGATAGTGAGGTACGTTACAACAGTTCGCTAGTGTCATAGCACTTCAGGCTATGATCAGTGCGGCACAGGGCACTGATACGTAATGTTCAGTCATTAGCTCACACACGAGCTCCTTCTAATAAGTCATTAGTTGATGACTCACTCACAGTATATCCTGCTATATGATGAACTCACACGTGGGGTCCTGCTCGAGCTGGCGGTGGCCGTGCCAGCAGCGGACGGTGAGGCACGGCGCCGGCTGCGAGAGCGTGCTGCCGTGCTCCCGGAGCGACTCGCCCACCAGGCACATGCTCACCAGGCAGCTCTGAGGCGGTATGGCCGCGCAGATGGGCTGCAGCTCCTCCGAGCACGAGTACTCGAACCAGCCGCCGGTGCTGTTGGTGAACCGGTAGCCCAGACAGCCGACCGCTGCCGGGCGCACGGACTAGTTACTCTCACGGCGAACAGGATTCGGTGGATTATTCATTTATTTATTTATTTACTTCGTAGTGGCCGTCCTCTATCTATGACCGGAGTTATTCTTGGCACTGAGTCAATAAAATTCAGATGAGATTCAGATGAGATCAGATATTCGTCTTTACAGATCAACGACGATTGTAAGGGAATTCGCTAGAAATTATCACTGGACACTGATCCTTTGTCCTGTGCTGCTTTAGAGGGCAAGTTCACGTTAACTACACAAAAGGTTAAAAGCATCTACTAAATGTCTTCTAGTTAATGTCTAAATGTAAATAAATGTCTTCGATCACCCCTTTGCTAATGCATTGGAAATTGTTTCCGCCACATTTATTGCACTCATTATGGAACGAACGTAGAGTAGAGCTGCTATGCAGAAATCATTATCATGGCTACGACTATAAGCTCGACTATCAGGCCTCTAGACATCTTTGACTACCTTGATTTGAAATTAATGTATATCTTTGTCTGAGCCGTAGCGATATATTCCTCTCACAACCCTGATCCCTAGCGCTCACCGTCGGCGGGCAGGACGCGGTTGTCGTCATACCAGAGCCGCTCGGGATGGAGGCGGTTCGGCCATCTCAGCGGGGCGTCACCGCCGCGCGCCTCCAGCCACCCGTTGACGGGTTCCAGGGCGGTCCGCAGCTCAGTGTCGCGCCGGCCGCCCCCGCCGAACGGCGCCGCCAGCCGGCCGCCCAGCTGGCGGCACTGCGCGCGCGCCGCGCTGAAGCTGGCTGTGGTGGGGAGCACGGTGACGCAGCGGCGCCGCCTGCCCGACCACACGGACACGCTGCCCGGCGGACAGGGCACTGCCGGGGACACGGTCAACGGTCACCCACCGCCAGATACCTACCCATCTGTGTTCTGAATGGTGTCTTTGTTTTACCTACATTTCATCATGGTATGAAATCACCGTTTATTTGTCAAATTGACCTGAAAGGGAAAGGTGAATTAAGTTTTCAGCATTTTCATGAATCATTAGATAGCATCATTTTCGGAATAGCCTGGATTTTATGTGTGTAGGCATATATATTACCTACATATAAATTGAATCAATATATTGAAAAGTGTTAGTCTTTTCGGCACCATACGTGATTTTTAAAGTTTAGCACAGTTTTCATTCGTCTAAGTGATCTGAATGTTTTATTTTCGTACACCATTATCATTTGGGTCTTTGTATTTTCAGTTACCTTCGTCGAGAGGAGCCAAGGTGGAGTATGGCTCCCAACCAGCTTCGGTGCATATGAGGTTTTTGCAGTTGCCGTGGTATTCAATTTCGCCTTGGGTGTATAGCTCACCGTTATGTTCGCAACCTGTGTTCGAAAAGAATAACAAAAGAAGGAGACAATCAGCGCCTCATGGCATTCAGCATTATGGAAAGCATCTAAATGAGACGGGATCTGAAGAAGTGAGGTACGAAACAGAGCCAGAAACGAAACTGTCCTGGTTTAAAACGTAAATTATGATTAAAATGTAACTGATTGTTAACTTGAATGAAGAAAAACAAAATAAAAGCGAACAAGACAATAGGTGAAACAGTCATTGTACAAAAAGATCCCAAAAAAAATGTACGGTTAAATATAAACGCCATATGCCTTGCCTTAAGGGCAATGAAGTCCCAATAGTTTATATACGAATCGGCCGACACGAACTGATAATACATAAGCACATAAGCACGACACAGAATGTATATTTATAAGCTATCTATGTTCAGCTAGCAGCTCACAGTTGACGGCGCTCTCTCCTCCGACAAAGGTGAGGTTGACCCTGGCGACGCCCCGCTGCAGCAGGCAGTGGACGACCATGCACTTGGCGGTCGACGTGTATATCGGGACCGACGGGTCGGGCGGGTACCATTCGCCGTGCCACGGGCAGACTGCGGGACCGGGCAGCGGTGTGCACTTATAGCGCGGTCACATTAGAACAGGGGATCACTTTACAACGCCAGCCGTAACGTGCAGGCTTGGCATGGAGGCGAACCGTGACCCACGACTCCAGTCGACACCCCCCCCCCCGCCTTTCCCGTTGACGAGTTCCCATGAGATGGAGACGGTTCTCAGCGGAGGGCTAAGGCTAAAGCTTCTCAGTTCCCCCGTCCGCAGCCGGACGACGGTCTCCCCACCCCACTCACAGTTTGCCTCTTCACCAGGTAATGGTTCCTCAGGGAGTTGTCCCGCTCCTGAAATATCGAAAGACATTGAGCTTCAAAGTAATGTAGTTCGTCACTTACATGGTTTGACTTATCACGCCTTTACACAAATGCATAAGCTCAGGTTTTACCACGTGGCGTTATTGGCCACCGTAATGACTTCTGACAAGAAGCAATGTGTCATATGACTTATGAGCATGTATGCGAAAGCCGAAAATATAAGGCGACGAAGTAAGCGACCAAAAATGATTTGATAAAAATCCACAGTAACTCCTATAGGTATAATGATTTATAACTCCAATAGGTGTTGATGCATTTAAGGTTATTGCCTGCCGATTGCTGTCATTGCGGCAACTGGTTACTGGCTACTGCCGAAAAGTCACTTAACTATCAATTAATCCTCGCGGGATATAGTCAGTTTTCTACACGCACGCTATGCTCGGGCATGCTAGGAGAGACATTCGAATTACGAACCTATTTCGCCGTTTCGCCCTCAGCGGTGCTAGATCATCGCGGCAAAATGAGGATGCGCACCGTCATAGGACGCAGCGACTGGCTCACCTTTCAAGGTCTACAGTCAGCAAGTGACCTCAAAGGTCAGGTCAAAGACCCAAAGATCGGGGCCAAGTTTCGATAAATAGCTTCGCCGTAAATAAGCGCTTAGTTTAGTTACGATTTAGGTACCACAGCATTCAACTTCTCCGGTCATGTCGAATGATTACGGAGCGAGCGAAGCGAGCGGAGTCTTACGTAGAATAACGGAAATTTCTGAGTATGAGCGGCCGGCCGGCCGGCCGGTCGGCCGTGGTCATGCGATTTTGCGACGCTTATATCTCAGCAACCACTTGACCGATTTACATGCGGTGCCGGTAATTTTTGTAGGGTAACTTCATTCCTTCTACCAAGTATTGGACTATTCCCGAGGCATGTGGGTGACCCCTTATGCACGTGCCACGTGCAAAACGAAGAGTTGTCAGTTTTGTAATAGTTGTAATATCTCGGTGACTACTTGGCCGATTGCGCTGAAAGTTGGCATGTAGGTAGGCACCCACTAGGCAATGCATATCCATGTGCCAGAGTTGGGGTGCTGCTGCACGTGCGCACGTGCAGGGGTCGTTTCCAGATCTCGAGAACGGCTGAACCGATGGCGCTCAAATTTGGTACACGGTTGTCAGTTAGGGACCAGTTAGTAGGGTGCCGTGCACAAGTCAGTTGGGACCCATTCTGCAAGTGCGGACGTGCAGGGTGCCGCTTCCAGATCTCGAGAACGGCTCAGGGCCGATTGCGCTCAAATTTGGCACATTGCTAGAGACCGGTTAGTAGGGTGCCGTGCACAAGTCACTCCGCCTTAGCTCGATACCACTGACTTACAAGTATTTAGGGCGCGCGTCTGAACTCACCGCAGGGCAGTCTGGCCAGCAGAGACAGCGACACCAGCAGCCGGACGGTCGGCACCATGGTGAGCCAGAGCAGGACCTCCGTCAGGGGGGGGGGGCGACCGCGCGCTGTCGGGGCTCGGAGGGCAACTGATGCCGACCCGACTGCACAGCCGGGACGTCGGCACATAATGCACACATGGTGCACAGTTCCACGCATCGCGGAAAAACCGAGCAGAATCGAGCACCGAACATAAAGCGCAGTACGGCGGCCCGGACCCCCTGTGAATGGATAGCCGGCTGTGCACGAGGTCGGTACACAGTGATACGGCCGCCACTCCTGCGGACATCACGGTTCCGCTCTGTGCATGCACCCGGTCATTATTTTGATACCTAATTTTGATAGGTTTTAAACGTATTCCGGCTAGGGAATGATTTATAACTCAGACCACCGGCTGTATCAAACGAGGGGTCGGAGGAAACGGGGGAGCGTTTCGTGCCTATGCCTCTCCTGGCGATCGACTCTTGAGCCGGCAGATATCCCCATAGTTTAGTTACTTCCAAAACGTCGGAAGCTTTATAAATAGCATGAGTCATCATCCTACAGGCATCTCAGATTTTCTTCATCGTGCGGTGACATGTCAATTGCAGGGGTGGATATCTGTCAAAATGTCAGGGGGGTCCAGGCCGGGCAGATGAAGGCAGGCTGGATGCAGTAGGTACCATTGACTTACATAGCAGTAATTCGTTTCCTGACCCCCCGAACCCCCGAGATCTCCACCTCTGGTCAATTGCCATTAACATTATGAAGCAATGGAGAAAAGGGCAAACACCTGCTTCGAGCATGAGTTTCGTATGGTTTAGTAGTTATTTCATAGGCGGCGGGCACCGGGGCACCGTGCCCCCTTGATTTTGCCATTTTAACATTAGCCCTTAGGTATATGGAGTTGCATGGAAAGAATGGGACCAAAAGTCGGCAGTGCTCCCCTTAATTGAAGGTGTTCCGCCGCTACTGAGCTATTTCTCATCCATGGCACGAATTTGATCTTGGTGAAAATTATCCCGCACCCCGCGCTGGGGTCCTGGATTTCCACGCCCTGCTGGGGGGGGGGGGTTTAAGCACCCCCCCCCCCACTTCTAACTCGGCTCCTGGGCTACGTAGAGATACGGAAAAGGCGCTTTTCGAAAGAGCGTCAAAAATAAGGAAGAAATCACTTCGTTCACTTTTTTGGTCAGGTCAAAGGTCAGGTCACCAGAGGTCATTGAAGGCCAAAATTCGCCGATTTTCAGTTCAGATATCGACAAATTTCAACAAATCGACGCACAACTTTGAAACTAATAAAGCTACAGCGCCGCGGAAAAGCGCATTTGATAGCCCTATTCACGCTCTTTCTGAGTAATTCTCTCGGTTGAGCTACCGTCAACGGTTTTGTCTGCGGGGTGCAAAAACTGCCAAAATAGCTGATTTTTCGGAAACAGTTCTTCTCCAAGAACTTTTGACTCAAACCCTGCACGAACTTTTTTTTACCAGCATCGTGCTCCTCTCGTCAAGACGGTCATTGGTCAACGTCATGACCTGACCGGTAAGGGTCAAGTTGCATATCAGTCGATCCGTATCGTCGAGCCAAACACAACTAAGGTGTTTTCATCGCTCTAGCATGCCTCTATCAAACGTTATTCGCGAAAAACAGTCAGATTCTACCATTGGTGACCTGAGATTATCTCAGGGGCATAGAAAGGGGTCACAGGTGCCATCTTCACGTTCAGTGTGTCAAAGCTACAAATAATGCACTGTTTAAGAGTGTTTATATTGACTTCCGTCTAAAAAAGGCGACTTTCAATATTCTCCCATCGACTTATAATGAGGAGGTCGCAAAATTGTGGCAAAATTGACCTGACCTTAGCTCATCGATATCAAAATTTCAAGATATACATTTTGTACATAATGTTGCTCTTATCAATCTATGAAAGTTTCAAAGCGATCAGTCACTCGGTGTAGCTTTGGCAGACATTGAAACTTTTTATGTAGCTTTGGTTGACATTGAAAATTTTTGTCACTTGACCTGACCTGGTGACCTGACCTTAAGTGACCTGGGTCTGAATTTTTTACAGCAATGTAGAAAAGATGCATGATAAGGTGTGCCAAAAAAGCGCCGCCGTTTTTCAGATATTCGCGAAAACCGTAAGAGGGGGTGTTCAAACACCCCCCAGCAGGGCGCGGGTTTTAACACGACTCTTAGAAATGTCAATAACGCCATCCATAGTTCAGTGCCGATGCAGACCTAATGACAGGAAACCTCTCAGCTCACAAAAGCGGTTTTTAGCCGAATATGACCCAAGACATCTGCCTTCTTTACAGAAATGAACTGCTCACCAGCAGGTTCGGGAACTCCTCGGTCCAGGTAATAGGCATCTCTCGGGTTAAAATATTGAGCTTATATTTGTACCTTCACTACTCTAACATGTCACAGAGATCGACTCAACAGTAGAATCTACCGGACGCATCTGGCTCCAAATTAAACGGCATGCCAAATCTTAGCTCAATTTATAATTCACTCCGCGGTGGGTCGTTGGTGACAACAGACGGTCATCTAGCTCTCGAGTAGCATCGGCAATGACAGTTGCCACCGACAACCGACCAATTTACACAAGGCACAGTTCTAGCCAACTAGCATGTATTACAGTACAAACACAGCGTTAAAAGGCGGCGTCCTTGTAGCCCTCCTCTTTCGCTGCCGCAGACATGATCCCCTGCGCTGGGACCGAATCTAGTGCGCGCACCAACGCACCAGCCAACGCACCACAACCGCCACTATTTACAACGCACCGAGAAACCGAACACCGGCCTTACAGGACAGACGTTTAAGACGAGGCGAAGTCGCCGCTGCCGCCAGAGTCCACGGCAAGACGTCGGAGTCAATGTTTATAATTCGCCGGCACACCGCGACGAGCGGAAACCCTCCCACCTCAGCGGTAACCAGCGCGCAGTCGCACTATCCACTCACACATCCCCAGTGTCACCGGCACCGGGCACACACGCAGTGTCTTCAGTCACTCCGCCGGCCGCTCGGGCCCGGTTAGTGCGTCGGCGGCGCGGCAGACGGCGTGGCGGCGGCAGAGGTGGCGGTCGCGGAGCCCACCTTGGCCTTGGTGGCCGAGGCGCTGACCGAGCGCGAGGTCAACAGCCGCTCCACCATGGTCTTGGCGTAGAGCAGCCGGTTGGCCAGCTCCTCGCTGCAGCCAAACTCTTCCAGCAGCGAGAACCGGTACGTGCGGAAACTCTTCTTCTCGTCGATGTAGGTGACGGCGCCCATCATAGGACACAGGATCACCTTGCTGTGGTCGTCAAAGAAGTTGATCTGCAACGGAAAACATAAAGTGTCAGCCGAGGCACTGAACATGACGGAACGCACGGACCCTGTTCAGCACATCGCATGTAGTGGCAATGTAACGATCAAACAGCACTCACGTACTTTCGCCATTCCTCTAATTACACTGCCCGGCTCTCACAGCCACTACCAGCCACACTGCCCCGCTCCGCCGTCCCCGGCCACCCCGCCGCACCTGCAGTGTGCCGTTGGTCAGGTGCAGCACGATGGCCGACCGGCTGCGGAACCAGGCGCGCATGCTCGGGATCCGGCTGAGCTCGTCTCCCTCGCGCGGCTTCATGGCGGCGCCGGCCTTCACCAGGTGCTCGTTCATGTAGTTGCGGAAGTACTTGAGCAGCACCACCTTCTTGTTGGTCTCCTTCGGGTAGTCCTTCATGGTGTAGTAGTGCTCGGTGCCGTCCCGCTCGATATAGTGGATGTCCCTGCGCGGAGGAGGGGACGCAGTCAGCCACACATAGACAGAGGGGGAGGGGGGGGGGGGACTTACACCTAGTGTGGGAGAACAGGAGGAACAGGCATGGAGAAAAGCGCGAGTAGGTTGTTGCATGTATGTGAAATAATTATGCATGTTATGCACGGTTATATCACATACGACGATATCAGTGAAACACGTGCCAGGGTAGCAGAGCTGCTGAATAATCCTCTGAGATTAAGCTGAGATTGTCGGACCGACGCACTCACTCTCCATTGGCGAGCAGCATCAGCTTGGTGGAGTCGTTGAAGATGATGCCGATCGAGTCGTCACACAGCTGGTAGCCGAGGCCGTACTTGTCAGAGTAGTCGACCCACTTGCTGAACCAGAGGAAGGGCACGGCCGCCGGGTCCTCGGCCTCGTCTGCCGCAGGTCAGGGGCACGTGGCGCCGTCAGCGGGGTACGGGGTGGGGGCAGACCCGGCACACTCGTAACAACTGAGTCGAAATAACGTCTGAATGACTGCTAGAGGCAGTCGTAGTGACGTGTCACGGTGTTTCTTGAGCAAAAGGTGCACCTTCGACCCACCGACGCGACGCCATGGTTCTTATCAAACGCATACCTACATTCTAAAAATAGCCCGGCCCACTTCAAACGATAGGGACAAGCAGCCTTTACCAGCAAACACTGCCTTCCAGGACCCAAACACTGCCAGTCCAGTCCACACGTACCCATTTCGATTTTGGCGCGGTTAGCCGGCGACGAGTCGAGCAGCTTCTTGAGCTGTCCGTGCAGCACTTTGAGGTAGCAGTCGCGGCTGGCGCGCTGCTCAGAGGCGGGCTCCGGTGGCGGCGCCACCTCCTTCTGCGCGGCACCACTCGGGGCCGACTCTGCCGGACGGGACGGCACGACAGCGAGGAGGAGTCAGGACAGACAGAGGGGAACGAGGCTATACGCACAGAATCACTACATACAGCATCTCCGGTCGGCAATACTAAACGCGACGATCGAAAGGCAAATACTGATTCCGAACTACGGTGCAATCGCAATCGGTAACTGTGAAAACAAAAACGACATTCCAATTTGATAAAAAATCTTACACTGAATCAATAACTTCATATCAGTATGCACACGTCAGTGATCAAAATGGGAGCGTGCAAACGAATTCTGAGGTAACCGTGACAACGAAGCACATACATATGTAGTGATGATCAGTCGCTTTCCATCCAAACCCCATGAACCTGACTGATCGTTTCTCTCCGCCTATTTCACCTTTATTCAGCTCGACGAGAGGACGGCGCGCCACGATACTGACGTTCATCTTGGTGTCGAACCGCGGCGCCATGGTGAGGCAGGAGGTGGGCAGCCTCACCGGGATGTAGCCTGAAACACGTCCACATACGCTGTCAGTTCGGGGTAGGACTCCTTCATAGCACCGCCACAGCTCAATATTTGGGGCTGAGCTGCCTGCCCCGCCCACCTGCCGTCAATGGTGAGCGTCCTCCCCCACAAATCGACAAACGTCCGTCCCAGCAGCCAGCCAACACCCCCATACGGATCACAATATCTCAGTCATTCCCTCAGCCATGTCCGTGACCCCGGCTCACCCATGGTCATGAAGTCGTCGTGGAGAATCTGGTCGACCGTGGGCCGCCGGGCGGGGTCGCCCTGCAGGATCCGGTGAATCAGGTTGCGCGCCAGCGGACCTATAGTCTTGGGCACGCTGTACTCGTTCTTCTTGATGCGCGTGTACGTCTCCTTGAGACTCTCAGTCTCGAAGGGCGGCCGGCCCACCAGCAGAGTGTACCTGCGGCCGTGCGGAGGGGAAGGGACGGGGCGGGACACCGGTGAGCGACACGCCCCACCGCCCGGCGGACGGACACGCCTGTGCAGCCGGCCGGACGCGGCAGGGTGACACGGCCGTGGTCGATCCGGCTACACACCGGGTCCAGCAGGGAGCCGGCACAATCGCTGGCGACCCGGCCTGTTATAAAACGAGTGCAGCGAGCAGCCCGAAGGCCGCCGGTAGAGCACACCATTGTTCATGTGCCCTGCGGCGCAGTAGTGACCGCCGACCCTCCAACTCTCATCATCGGACCCAGCACAGACGCTGCTTTACAAACTCGCGCCGATGACTCAGTCGGGCTCGCTGCAAAATGTACACTCTCGTTTGAGCCCCCTGCGGGACCTTCCGGCGCTGAATCACCACCCAAAACGTCACAGGTGAGGGCAGCATTACGATTTACTTTTACTGAATTACTGCGCTTCCCTGTCAATGTGCGCTATTACTTTTGCACAACTGCATTTTCGTGAAGGTTTATATCGTCGCTAAGTGAGGGTAACATTACCTACATTGGCATATTCCCTTTCTAGTGTAGGTGTAAGAATAAGATGACCACACACAACGTTTGAAGTATCTTTTTTGTCAGTTTGAAGAAAGTATCTTTGAAAATAAGTTTGTCTTTAGAGAAACAGCTATAAATGCCCATCACCTCTCGAGTATCGGCCAACGTAATTCTACCAGTCATCACTCCCAAGTCGCAGTTCCCATTGGCACTTACAGAATGCAGCCGATGGACCAGACGTCCACCTCGAAGCTGTGCCCCTTCTTGGCCAGGATCTCCGGCGCAATGTAGTTGGGTGTACCGCACAGGGTGCTGTAAACAATGACGTAGTCACGTAAGGATACAGACACTGTCCACAAGTGTCGATCGGTCAGTATTAAACGGGCGTGCGGAGCCAGCAACGATCAGGCGTTCGTGCGCAACCAGCATAAGAAATACAGAAACTTATAAAAGTATAAAATTCCGTTATTTAGGAAAGATGCAATGCTCATTGCAGCAAGTCTGTAATGAGCCACAGAGCAGAGCTGCGGAGTCGGAGTCGACAGTTCTGCCATGAGTCGGAGTCGGAGTCGCCAAAAGCTTACCGACTCCGACTCCGGAGTCGAACTTAACGCTGCATGGCTCAACGTCATGCACTGCACCTGTCTGACGATACTGCGCCCGAAATGAGATTTTGTTGAAAAAAAAAACATTTTGCTGTTTTGGACAAACGTTTTCAGCGAAAGAAGCAGAAGACGGTGAATTCCCCAGAACCTGCTTTTTAATTCTGCATGCTATTTAAAACCGTCTGGAGTCGGAATCGGTTTTGAGGCCGGAGTCGGAGTCACCTTAAAATCCATCGACTCCGCGCCCTGTCCCAGAAGCCACCTACCGTTTCCGCTCTCCGGTGTAGTCGACCCTAGTGGCGAGACCGAAGTCGCCGATTTTCACCTCCATCTCATCATTCAGGAAAAGGTTTCCGAGCTTGAGGTCGCGGTGGATGATGTTGCGCTCGTGCAGGAACTTTACCCCGAGCAGCACGTGCTGCAGGAAGTAGCGCGTCTCCGGCTCACTGATGGCCTTCCGCCGTTTGTGCAGCTCCATCAGACTCTGTTTGTGGCGAGAGAACCCGCCCGGTCACCGTTGGGTTTCGTGATTATTTTGGAGAGTAACACATCAATAGGTAACGGCCTTCCAAAAACACATTAAGAAGAGATAATAATGACATGCCATAACAAGCCGGAAGAAAAGCACTTGCACGAAAAAGTGAACAGTTTATCATCGTGAATCACATTTTACCGTAAGTTTGTTTTAAATCGAACAGTTTTTAATTTGATCATGAATCGCAGTTACCGTATTCTTTTATTTATCCCAGAAAACAGCCAGTGTAAGCTGGTGAGAGAATGGTCTCTGTTACAGTTGCAGTTCGCGACTGTGGTTTCGATACGGTCAATACAGGGATTTCAGGGAGTCGCAACAATGCCGCTATATAGCGTCCACTCCCTCTCCTGTTCACCCCCACTCCGGTACATTCCTAGCGCTGTACAGAAATGATAGCGTCCTCACCCTTTTCCGGCAAAGTTCGAGCACAATGTAGACGTTCTCGCTGTCCTCGAAAAAGCTGGAGAAGCCGACGATGTGTTTGTGGTGCAGCTCGCGATGGATGGTGATCTCCTGGGTCATCTTCTCCTTCTGGTGCTGCTTCACCAGCAGCGCCTTCGAGACAATCTTGCCAGCTAAAACCTCCTTCGTGTCCGGGTCCACAAGCTCGTAACATCTCGCAAAACCACCCTGCGATGATGAAAAAATTAGCATGTCATGCCATCTTAAAGCAGCGCCCGAGCTCGGCGCCAACCACGCCGGGCTGGGGAAGGGAGCAGGGGGGTGTTTTAAGCCGCGCGGGTTGGGGGGGCGGGTAAATTTTACCCCCCTCGCGAATTTTTGCAATATCTCAGAAACGGCGGCGCACAGCGCCGCCAAACTTTCAGTACCTTTTCTTACATCAATTTTACACATTTCTGCCAAATAAAAATAAAATCGGTTGAAAACTTTTCGAGAAATAAGCAAAAATGTGACGTCACTACAGGCGATTTTTGTACTATGGTGACCATTAGTGACCTCATCTTGACCTGACCCGGTCGTGCCACCAGCCTAACGGTCTCAAAGCACCTTGCTGCATTCAAGTGAAGGCTTTCCATGAAGTATGAAGCTCATAGCTTCTATTGCCTGATCTCGGTAGCATTGCAACCTCAAAAACCACGCTTTTGACAGCTGACCTCAGTTTGACCTTGACCTTGACCTCAAACTTTAACCCTATTCCTGGCGGGGGGGGGGCCTCAGGAGCCCCCCTCCCTGAGGTTTTTTGGTTATTTCTCCCAAACGCGTTGAGCTAGGAAGCTCAAATTTTCTGACTTTTCCTAAAAGGCTTCTACGCAACATGTCTGAAAATTTTGAGTTGATCTGACCTCAGGTCAGGTCACCAGAGGCGGTTTGGTGACTCTACCTCAGAAAAGTTTGCAATCACGCCAGAGCTAGAGTTTTTGACCGATCAATTTCTTCTCTTCAGGCTTTAGTTAGGGTACCAGTATGTGCAATTTGTTTATCTCGGAATTTTGATATCGGTGACCTAAGGTCAGGTCAGTTTCGCGACCTCCCCATTATAAGTCAATGGGGGAAAAATCAACTCCCTGTTTTTACCACTAAAACGGGTTGGAATGGCCCCATATACCATACATGACTTCATATACGATCAACCTTCACTACCCTGAGGTCTGTTTTGCTGTTGGGCAGCTGTGAGGTCATGTGACGTCATCAAAGGTCACCAAAGGTTTTTGGCCAATAACTCCCTACAGGAACAAGATACAGACGCGTGGATGGTCTCATTGTGTTCAGCTCGTCAAAACGCATCGAATGATATACATGATGACCTCGAGGTCACGTGACCTGAGGTCAACCTTTGACCTTGACCTTTCGAGGTCAACATATATATCATTCGATGCGGATTGACGAGACGATCACGATGATGCCCTTAGTTTGTTCCTATCTTGACTAATTCGAAAGTTATTCGAGAAAAACTCTCCATATCTAGCGCCGCCATTTTGACTTTTTCGACCCCTGTGACGTCACCTTTGACCTGACCTGAAAATGACCTTAGTAAAAATTGTAGATCTTGACCGTGCGTATCCGATGCCGTTTACCGTTTGTCGCTGCGATGTGTAGTTTTTGAGATCTGAAGGGGGGGGGCCGAATCGGCCCCCCCCCCCGCCAGTTTCTTGTCCCGGCGGAGCCCGCCAGGAATAGGGTTAAATTAGGTACATGTTTTTAACTGTTCGTGATGAGATCTTTCGATTGGCGTTTGAATTTTCCAAATCGGACCATTAGTTCGGGAGATAACAGGGAGTGGGGGGGGGGGGTAAAATTTACCCCCCAGCCCTGCGCGTTCGGCTGGAGACCCCAGCCCCGCGCGGGTTAACACCCCCCCCCCCTTCTAACTCGGATCCAGGGCCACGTAGCGACACGCGGTAAGTGGCATTCAAAAGAGCGTCAAAACTTCGGTCATTGTCTTAGGTCAGGTCAAAGGTCAGGACATTAAAGGTCATCAAAAGTAAAATGTTGAAAGCGCATTCGATAGCACTTTTAACGCTCTTTCTTGGATATGCTTTCAAATTTGACCTAGGATCAACGGTTTGACCTGCAGAGAGCAAGAACTAAAAAAAAGCCGTTTTACGAAAAATATTTTTTTTTTCTGTAATAACTTTTGACTCAAGAAAGGCACAATTATTTTGTTTGCGTCGTGTTCTCCTCATCGAGGCGCAACGATTGAACTACAATTTGCCCTTAAAAGGTCATTTTGAAAATTTGACCGAAGGTCAAGATCATAACCTGACCGGAAAGGTCATTTGCATATCAGTCTATCCGTATCGTCGACTTAAACACATCTAAGGTGTTTTCATCGACCTAGCATGCCTCTATCAAGTTATTGCAAAAAAAAAACCTGCTGGGATCCTTTCATGACCTGAGATGACCTGAAGCACATAGCGAGGGGTCACAAGTGCAATTTTCCGATTCAGTGTGTCAAAGTTACTTGTCTCTCGATGTTTGAGTGTTTAGAATGACTTCCGTCCAAGAGACTCTTCAATTTTCTCCCATTGACTTACAAGTTACAATAGAGATGGAGCAAAACTGACATGACCTTAGGTAAAAAATATCAAAATTCCGAGATATACATTTTATACAAACTGTCACTCTCATCAATCACTGAGAGCTTCAAGGCGATCGTTCCGTCGGTGTAACTACGAGCATTCTGGCATTTTCTGAGTGACTGTCACTGCCTTGTAGGTACTGTCAAACCGAACTAGGTCAATCATTTTTCCTCTTCAAAAAACAGGAGCCGGAGTCGCCCCTTTTTTGACGGGTTCCGACTCCAGCTCCGGGCAAAATATGCCGGCTCCGGCTCCGCACCCCTGCCCAAAACTAAAGCTTAAAGTCTAACAAGTAAGCATACTCAAGCAGTGCTAAAAAAGTCAGAGAAGCCCCAATGAAACAGCTACAGAGGAAATATTCAAAGGAAAATCAGGGAATCCTTGTTCAAACATATTATTTAGGTACTCTTTCAATAACTATATCAAAATTATCCATTGCATTAATTTCTTTTCTTTTTAAAATGTCAATAATCTTGATAATACATATTGTGAAGATAATTTAATTCAAAAGGTAGCAAAATTCCATTTTGATGAAAGTAAAAAACATCATCAGGCTGGAAGACTGGAGGCAGGAGGGGTGGCCATATTAACATTATTTTTAAAGTTAATGCATATCATTGAAGGTAATTGCATTTGTGAAATGTGCCTGATTTGGTTGTTACTGAACTCTTACAATGCCACCAGTGTGTAACTGACAAAGTATTGTGATGTGAATTCATGTAAGAATTTATCTGAATCATCACTTTGAACAATAAAATAAAAGATGGGTGGCAACAGGCAAAGTATCTTTCAAAACTTGTATTTTGTTTACCACTAAGACAAATACTTAACTACTAAAAACACTTCTATTTTTACTACTTTTTAAGTAGTAAACTTCTACATCTATATAATCTTCTTTCTTTTGCCCAGAACATATTTCAAACTGATAAATTGGGTGCTGGGTGTAACCGAGTTTCCTCCACCTATTACTTTTTTACTTAGTAGTTACCTAGTGAGTTAGCAGTTTAAAACTATAAAGATACTGATAAAATTGTGGAAATAATCTATTGATACCTACCTCATTGCTCATCCAAGTAAATACCTACCTACCTACCTACTACTGAACAATATAACCTAGCTTACATTAAAATTAGTAACATGCTGTGAAGCTAAGGGAAGAGCATTCAGGGTATATGATGTTTGTGTTCTCAACCTAAAAATGTAATTAGAGGACTTGTTTTTTACTGCAAACCAATAAATGAAAACAAAATTAAAGATCTCCTCAAGCTTTGGGGAGTAGGCCTTCAAGAACCCATTGAAAATTTCCGGATCCACCAGCGTTGTAAAAGCTATCCTTACTTATACCTGCCGTAACTTCCTAGATTGATGTCTAAAAAATCTAAAAACTATGCCATGCACCATGCAAGATCTAACTACCTTCACCATCCATCTACTGGGTACTTATTTATCAACTTCCATATTGGGTAGCTTGGGTAGATAGCAGATACACACCTTTCCGAGAAACTTTCCACGCTGGTATCTTTTCCTTGTTTTAGGGTCCAAAATAACTTGCGCAATCTCCTTAGTTGTATCCACTCTTGGTCGTGAGGCCATCTGTGCAGTTGAAAATTAGCTGGTTGAAAGAGGACGTGAACGCCAGCCAACTTGAATTCAAACTCGCCCAGCTGATCGGTGCGTCTCAAAACTGGAACAGAGAATAAGACGAAGTTATGCGTATGATTATCAAGCGTATGATGGCACACATATTAGGATTCTATCCACAAAGAGTGAATAAATTAAGCACATTCAGCATTCGATGTAAAACCACAACTTACCTTTCGTAAATAAAGTTTATTTTCAAAGCGACCCACCCAAGTCCCAAGATAGTGAAAATCGTCCAAATCGTCTTTAGCGATTTCCGCCGCGATACTTTCAAAACGTACGGCAATGGAGCTCGCTGATTGGTTTACCATGAATAAATGATACTCTTGAGTAAATGCAAAAATAAAATATTTTTAAAACAATTTTTTAATGTGACAAAATACAATGATCAGTGTTATTTTTTAATTTTGAATTGTCATATTGGAAAGAATATGGTTTCTTGAGAAAAGGTAATTCAAACGTAAAATTTTAAAGCTCTGTATGTTGCATTGATGACGCTCTTGATTCGTTCAAGACGCAGATCTAACTGCACGGGCCGCGCTAACACGTGTTACTGTTTGTGGGTGTCATTCCAGATATTTCAATTTGTGTGTTAGTATTTGTGATATAGCCTTGGTATTTGTGCTACCGTGTGGCCAAAGAGTGTTTTCAGCATGTGGATTGTATCATTTCTATAACAGAAAAATTTATTCTAGTCCACCTGTGAATTTCATGCCATTTCAATTTCAATTTTACGCCACACTCACAGGCAGGCCACTGCCGCTGGAATTCGTCCCTGTCCCTTGGTCCCTTGGTTGTTGGGCATGGGTATGGTGGGTATGGTCATGGAGTCCCATCCATGGATTCTGTTGCAAGTCAAAGCGGTCTTGGTTTTTGTGTTAAGACTTCAGGGCTGTTCCCTGGTATGCTGCCGGTATGCTATGCTAGTATGCATAGCATACCTGGTATGCTAGCATGCTGCCGACTGCACATGGTATATTCAGTTTCTATGGAGATGTCAATTGTTAACAAACTTGGACCCTCTAACATTGAGTGAGGTCGTCAATTACATTGCCGTTTTTCAGGGGGATGGATGATGGTAATTCACAGGGCAATGCACAGCGCAGGGCCCCCATACTTACGAAATTACGGTTGCCACAACCTAAGATGACAGCTCACAAAAAGTGCTAACAGTGCCAGTAGCAGGTAGTAGGAAAGCAGGCATCACACTTGTTTTTTGCAACCAAGGAGAGGCGCCATACCCAGAGATGCTTTCCAATCAAACCAAGTCTAACCAAACCTTACCTACAACCTACAACCTAACCTATGGCACCTCTCTGTGGTTGCAGAAAACAAGTGTGACACCTGCTGTTATTGCTAGTTGCTAGTGGCTACTACCAGTAGCGGCTAGCAATGAGCCAGCAAAAGTACCTATATCCCAATCTTGACCTTAGTTAAATAATGCCTGTATCAGTTGAAAGACATTTCATAATTCAAGTAATTTAATAGTGTGTATCAAAGTTCTAAATCTTATGTAAAGTTTTGATGTTAACTTGTGATTTATTACAACAGCAGGAATCTGGCAAGATTACAAAACATGCAACAGGGTCAACACTGGCTCACTGACTCACTGGCTGGGATGGCCAATTTGCACCAGCTTGCACAAACCTGGCTGGAACTCCATTGCAACCTGTGGCCTGTGCTGAACAACCTCAAGATATTTTGCTACATAATTTACGAATACACACTTGTGATTTAATGAAATTGCAGTAACCCTTGCATTTATTGGGGGGGGGGTTGAATAAACCCCCTCATTTTTTGTGAATAACTCTTGCAAAAGAGGCCAATTGCTACAATCCATTCCCTCGAGTTGATCAATTTTTGACCTACCCTGAAAATGTTATGATCCTGACCCAAAGGTGCCGCCGTGAGTTTGCATCCCTACTGGCGGCCCACTATGCCCCGGGTTAGTGTGCGCCGGCCGCCGGTCAGCCGGCGCTGGCGGGGCGCGTCAGTCGGAGCCGGACAGAGGTCGCGTGCGTTTGCCTGGTGTCCAATACAGACGATCGCCGACTGCCTGGCGTCTCAACATGGTGATTTTGTAACAGGTTACAAAACTTTCATTGGTGGTTGACAGTTGACACCTACCATGACTAGCTGACAAGACACTAAATGGTTGACCTGACCTGACCCGACCTGACCCAACGTGGCCTAAATGCATGAATACATTATCTGTGATCAAAACATACTTCAAATTCGTCATCAGCACCCCGAAAAACCCGATAACAACCTCGCTTTACGAAGTCCTAGCGGCCCCGATATTCCCGAGTTATAGGTCATTAACCTGACCTGGAAGGTCACTGGTCAGCCAATGACCTAGGACATTTAAACTGGGTATCTTCGGCTTCCTCTCGTCACGGACAATTCACGCTCGTTTTCCGCGAGGCTCTAGCTCGATCGGGGGCCAAGTGGCAAGGGTTTCAAACGGACCCCCCGCCCCCTCCATACGGTAGACGCTGGCAAAATGCCAATACGGGCGAGGGTTAGAAATTAAACTTTTTCCTGGTGGTCCCCATTGTGTCTCAATGCATATTTTTTTTCGAACAATGCGCATTGCTCTGCCAGTAGTACTGGCGGTACTGCACTGAACCTCTTATGACCCACACTGCTGCACTTCAATTCTGCATCACACTATGGTAAAACTGCACCCGACCATGCACCAACAGTGCCGCTGCACAGACAGGACCTTGTCAAGTCGAGATCTCCATGCTTTGCAGTCTGGGAATCTGGAACAGTAAAAGACAAAACACGAATTCAACCCAACTGAAAAGCAATAGTAAGGTATTTCAAAAGTCACTTATAACAGTCATTTGAATTGTAACATCTTTAGATGCCTAAATGACTTAGTTCTGTTCGCGTTTTTTTCAGCTACCTGGCACTGATCAGTCATATGCTGAGCAATGTCAATGCTTGCTGAGCCACGAAGGAAAAAAGCCTGGATTTTAAATCCACGCAAAAGCCAGTGGGCTGAAGGTAAGTAGATGTTTGTGTAGTTAAGGTGTCTGCAGAATTCTACAATCATCAGATATGTCATGCTTCATTTGAATGTGATAGTATTAGTAACATTGTAAATATTCTCCATGCATGCAAAGAGTGAGGCTGATAATTTATCATGGTCACTTTATTATGTATAAGTACATTATAATTTATACAAATTATATTATGTATACATTATGTTACCATATCCTAAGCTTTGGAATATCAATTTTGTTTTCTAGCTGTATTATTTGAAGTGTTGTATTATTGATTTGTGGATTAAACTAAACATCTTATTGGTCATGCTGCCTCCTTCATTTGTGAGAAGCTGACTGACTCCTTTCCTCAGATGACAGCAAGTTTGGACAAAAGATGCTGGAGCAGATGGGATGGAGTAAGGGCAAAGGCCTGGGAAAAGAAATGGCTGGCATCACAGAGCACATCAGACCATCTGTTCAGAATGACTCCAGAGGTGAGCACCTTGCTACAAAACCACACCATTAATCTGATGTCAAAGTGAACTATTTCTGTGTAAAGATTTGAAACTCATTCAAAGTTTGGATAAATAAATCAAATTGAAATTGAGAATGGCACCAAACTGGCTATTTTGATTCATCATATTTTTCATGTAATTTGGTCCTATTTATAGGAATGTTTTCCTCTTTTCATTAACTTAGGTATTGCATGGTTACTGCCATGTAAATTGTAAATGCTATATTCTGATTCATTTATGCGCAGCCCTGATTCTATAATTTTACCTACCACCTCTTCAGGCTAAAACTTTACAGTAACTGTTCCATTGTGATTTCAGGTCTGGGCTACGAGGGCCGGACGGACGACTGGGTGGCCCACCTGGATGACTTCAATGACCTGCTGGCCAACCTGCAGCAAGAGCAGGAGACAGGTGGCGACTCGAAGGCCAAATCCAGTGTCAAGTCCCTAGAAGAGCGGTCAAAGAAGTCTCGAGCTCGTGTTCAGTACGTACTTATCCTCACTTGTATCAAAGATACCCGATTAGTAAGCTATAAGGGCCACAGCAGTTGCAGTAGTCTCTGTAACTTATGGCAATCATACTTTGATTTTAGTATTAGTATTATATTTTATAGTTTTTGGGCGTGAATGCCTTTTGGGATTGAATAAGTATAATAAGTGATTTGTGTTAACAAAGTTTTTGATGATGTGATCAGCTGAACACAAGTGGATCAATGCCCAGCCTTGTCCTGCAATATCTCGTATTGTAGCTAACGGCAATCCCTCGTCCTACAGCTACCACAAGTTCACTCGTGGTAAGGACCTGAGCCGGTACTCGAGCCAGGACCTGGCCAGTATCCTGGGCGGCCGGTCGGAGGGCGGCGCCGCCTCGCAGCCGGTGACGCCGGTCAGCTCCCGGCCGCCGTCGCCGCCGCCACACGCCGACAGCGAGCCCGTGTCGGAGGCGGAGACGGAGTCGGCGCCGGCGCCCGCCCCCGAGCTGGACACATCGTCCGGCTACACCACCATCAACACCGGACTCTCCGTCAAGGTCAGTCCGACGTCCCGTGGTCTTGTAGCTATGTTTGTTATTGTCAGGCTCTCCGTTACGGTCTTTGTAGTCCTTGCGTCCGTCGTCCTGCTTGCTAGAATTCCTGTGCAAAATTATCGAGCTGCAGTAGTGCTGGCCCCTCGATCGCCACCGTACAGTGTGTGCACCGAGGTCCGTCTGTTCGTTAGTAACGCCAGCCGACACATCTGGGTCTCGGCAATTTCCGGTGTCGACACTAACAGCTCGCTGTTCGATTACCCCTTAAATCTGCAGGCTTTTGGTCTGTCGTATGAGTCTTTGAGGCTACTATAGTCTGTTCCATTCCAAGTTTGCAGCCGAAGCGCTGCCCGCCATTCGCACGTGGGGAGCAATGAAAAATCAAGGAGGACTTTTGCCAAGACTTTTGCGGAGTTCCTGCGGCGAAAATACCCGGCGATATTTACAGGGCCTTACCCCAGAATATTTTGAAGACACGTGTGCCCAACGTTTTCCGTATTTTGTGTTAACCCTGAAACGCAAAACAAAATTGAAACTGTATATTTGAACAAAAAAGTGATCTCGCAAGGCATCATCCTGTCGAGCAGCATTAAAATCTGCCAATCCAGTCGTATTACGTGCTAGCCTCTGCTTGGCGTTAACATTTTTATTTCGTTTACGGCTATGATAGATCAGGTCGTTTGAACACTTTGCCATAAACAGCACACCACTGACAATATTTAATGCTTATATTTTTATTTCATCCGCTTTTGTTTTCTTGCAATCCGTCCACAGACCGACCTCGGGTTATCAGCTCTCTTGATGCGGTCCGGTGGCGCATAGGCGACGGCAATACCTAGGCGGACTTTGCACCTAGGCCAATTTTCAGACGCCCGTCGCCTCCACTTC